GTGAGTGAGCAGCCCACCATTAGGCCCGGAGATCTTGGATTCATCTTTCATTGGAGTCAACAGCCAGTGTACTGCCTGCCAGCCTTGAGCTTCTTGGCCCCCTGTGGTTGCGGAAGCTAAAGCTGCCTCTAGCCCAACGTTTCCTCCAGGGACTTTGGATTTCCCAGCTTCTCCATATTTGTGAGCCATTTTCCTAAGATAAATTTCCCTCTCTCTTTGTATATATATAAGCTTTGGCTGGTTTTTGTTTCTCCAGAGAACCCAGTCTAACACAGGGTTCATTAGAAAAACAATAAGCATAATACACCATATGAAAAAAACAAATGGAAAGGACATAATTATATCAGTCGCAGAAAAGACATCTGACAAAATCCAACACCCATTCAGGATTAAAATGCTCAACAAAATAGAAATAGAGGGAAATAAATCAGTATAATTAAGGGCATATACACAAAACTAACTGACAAAATTATTCTCAATGGGAGAGACAGAAAATATTCGCCTTCCCAACAAAAACCAGACAAGGTTGACCTTTAACACCACTCTTATTCGATATTGTATTGGAAGTTCTAGCCAGAGCAAACCAGGCAAGAAAGGGAAATAAAAGGCACCCAAACTGACAAAAAAGTAAAACTCTCTCTATTTTTAGATGACATGATCCAACACACCGAAAATCCCAGAGTCTCAATAAGAAAACTACTGGAACATATGGAAGGATTCAGAAAAGCTGCAGGATACAAAAATCAATTAGATTCCTTTACACTAGTAAAGAGCACTCTGAGAGGACATCATGAAAGCAATACCATTTACAATAGTCACTCAAAAGATGAAATACTGAGGAATAAATCCAAGCTAAGATACAAAAGACTTACACAAAGAAAACTATAAAACACTACTACAAGAAATAAAGAAAACCTCACTGTCGTTGAGTCAATTCAACTCATAGTGACTGCTCCTTGGGTTTCCGAGATAATATAAAAAGACCTATGTAAATGGAGGAACATACTATACTCATGAATCAGAATACTGAACACTGTAAAAATGTCAATAATACTCAAAGTGATCTATACGTATACTGCAATCCTGTTCCAGATTCCCTCATCATTCCTTAAAGAGATGGAAAAACTTTATATGGAAAGGAAAGAGATCCTGGATAAGCAAAGCACTGCTAAGGAAGAACAAAGTAGGAGTCCTTACGCTTCCTGATTTCAAAACCTACTACACAGCCACTGCAAAAAGGACGTGGGGACAACATCTTCTGACCTCCTCTTACTTCACAAGAGTGAGACAGAATCACCATCAGCAGCACAAGGTTTATTCCTATGAGGCCAGACATGCCACCACCCTCCAGCCTTTTTACCATTTCTGACACCAACCATCCCTCCCAAGGCACTGTCTACTTCTCTGCTGTGTTCGATAATTAATTGCAATGGGCACACAGAACTCACAGATAATACTCAAGACTGTGGGGTTTATCAGGAAAGTAACAAACTACAATTCAAGTTCAGGCACGCATTCAGGATATAATTCTTCGATAAGGACATTCTCCCCTCTGCATGCTTCTCTGGCCCTTGGCCTCTCCACCTGGCCTCTGCTCTGCTTGGTAAGTGTTAGAAAGCTCTTTTAGCTTTGCCAATAGGTGCACTTAGGTGTACCCTACTCTGCCAGCAAGCCTCCTGCAAAGGCACTCAGCTTTCTCACTCTGTAGGTCGACAAACCTGCTGCTCTGTCTTGTGCCTCTTGGCTCTACTTCCTCCATGTCTCTGCCATCTCTCTGCCAAGGAGGTGCAGTGCAAGGCTCAGGTCCAAGGATGTGCTCCACTCTACCTCTGGCTCTTCTCTCTTAATGGCAGTGAGATTTCCCTTTCTGCCTCTAGGAGGGCTTACTTTAAGCCTAGCTGAACGACAAAACTAACCGATCCCCACCTGAGAGTTCCATACACCTTATTTTCATGTTCCTACCCCCACAAGGGAGCTCTGGTAGCATAGTGGCTAAAGCACTTGACTGCTAACCAAAAGGCTAGAGGTTCAAACCCACCAGCCACTCCTTGGAAGGAAGGTTGGGCAATCCTACTTCCGTAGTGATACTGTCTCGGAAACCCAAGGAGGAGTCGCTATGAGTCGGGAGCGACTCAATGGTACATAACAACAACAACAACAACAACAACCCCCACAAGGTGCCACATACCTTATTTATTTTACTAACAAGCTATCCAATTCCCTTGGTGAGTCACAAGGCACTGTATATTTGCACAGTTCCACCCAGTAAACTGGTGGGAGTCACAAATACCAAGGCTAAGAGAGCCATACTAAGTAATTCCCTGCACCATAGCCACAACAGTCAAAACAACCTGATTCTGGTACAGTAACAGATACAAAGACCAATGGAACAGAATTAAGAACTCAGAAATTAATTTATCCACCTATGGATAGTCTTTTTAACAAATAATGCTTATAAAACTGGATATTCATTTGCAGAAAAATGTAACAAGATCCATACCTCATACTGACTCAAGATGGGTCAAAGGTTTTAAATAGAAAATCTAGTATAAAGACCATTAGAGAAAAACTAGGAACAAACTTACGGGCCCTAAAAAATGCATAAACAGTAGAAGAGAAACTAAGTAACTAGGACCTGCTGAAAATTCAACACATCAGAAGATTTCACCAAAAGAATAAAAAGAGAACTCACAGTGGGAAAATATTTTGGCAACAACATATCATACAAGAGACTAATCTCTAAAATTTATAGCAAACTTCAATACCTCAATAAGAAAAAGGCAAAAAATCCAATTAAAAAATGGGCAATTAAAAAAGAGGACAGGAACTTAACCAAAAGACATTCAGGTAGCTAAACTATGTTACACACACACAATGGGATACTATGCAACTATGATAGTTGGGGGTTGTGTGTCAACTTGGCTGCACCATGATTCTGAGGGGTTTAAACAGTTGTGATGTGGTTATTCCCATGATGAGATCTGAGGTATATGTTTTGAGCAGCCAATCCGTTGAAAGGGAGTTTCCCTAGGGGTGTGGCCTGCTTCCAATATATATATATATATGGACATCCTAGGAACATCAGAGAATCTTCTGTAGATCTGGATCCTGTTGTGCTGCCTACAACTGTCTGTGAACGAACAATCTACGATTCTGCCTGGTGATTGTGGATTCATCTTCCGCTGAAGTCAACAGCCAGTACACTGCCTGCCAACCTTGAGCTCATCAGCCCCTGCAGCTCCATGAGTCAGAAAAAGCCTCCAACTTGATGTTTGATTGGAACTTGGGACTTGCCAGACTTTATAACTATGAGCCATTTTCCTAGGATAAATTTCTCTCTCTCTCTCTCTCTCTCTCTATATATATATATATATATAAGCTTTACTGGTTTTGCTTCTCTAGAAAACTCAGCCTAACACAGCAACAGTAAAGAGTAATGATATAATCTGCAAAACACCTGATAACATTTATGAACCTGGAGGGCATAATGCTGAGTGATATTAGTCAACCACAAAAGGACAAACAATGTATGAATCCAGTATTATAAAAAGTCAAGTAAAGGTTTATACATAGAAAGAAACATCCTTTGATGGTTACCAAGGGTGGGAAGGCAAGGGAGGGTAAACTGCTAACTAGAAGGTAGACATACATTAACTTGGGTGAAGGGGAAAGTAATATATAATAAGGCAGAGGTCAGCAAAAAATAATCAAGGAAAATGAAGACACTGGTAGAAGCACAAGAATTATCGGAAAGACAGGTAAATGCTATAACATACACAATCCTCCAATAACAACAATAATCTACAAGTGGATAAACAGATACACATGCAAGCTGAACAGCTGTGGAAAGGTGAATGCCCACAAATATATATATATATATGTTTGACAGGATATCTTTACATATGTATTTACATGTATTGCAATTATATCTACGTATGTGGTAGAGCATACAGGGGGCAAAGTTATGAAAAATTTTTAGCCACAACCAAACTCCCTTGAGGGAGTGAGTCTCTAGACCTGAGGATCAATTTCATAATCTTAGAGAGACATCAAGGTCAATAAGCACAATATAGTCCTCAAAGAACCTGTTATACATTCTACTTTGGTGAGTAGTGACTGGGGTCTTAAAAGCTTGTGAGCAGACATCTAAGATGTAACTATTGGTATCTCCCTGTCCAAAGCAAAGAAGAGTGAAGAAAATCAAAGATGCAAGGAAATAATAATTAATCCACAGGCTAATGGACCATGCAAACCTCAACCTTCATGATCCTGAGACCAGAAGATCTAGATGGTGACTCACTATCACTACTGACCACTAAGAAAAGGATCACATTAGAAGGTCCTAGAGAAAGTGGGAGAAAAACGTGGGCCAAAACTCAAAATCATAATAAAGACAAGCCTCTCTGATTGGACAGACAGGGAAAACTCTGAGACTATGGCTCTTAGTCACCCTCTCAAGCCTGAGCTGAACGCACTCCCATGGTTCAACTCTCAGCCAAACAAAAGACAGGTCTATACAGAGAACAATAACACCAGGGAAGTACACATTCCTTAGAATAATCAACCATTTTAAATTAAAAGGGTAGCATCTGTCTAGGGAGAAAGTTCAGAAAGCAGGAACAGACAGGAAAGAAGGATACACAGGGAAATGGGAATGGGGAATGAGAAATAGGAAACACAGGGAGGAAGTGGGATGAGTGTGTTACTGTTACAACGTGGCAATTGCAATTAATGGCATGAAACAAATATGTATGAATTATTGAATGTAAAATTGATTTATTCCGTAAACTTTCACCTAAATCACAATAAAAAGTTACACAGCAACAACAAAAAGGAAGGTGAGAATGGTTGCACAATTTGAAGAAAGTAATCAGCATCACTCAATTAAAGATGTAGAAACTGTTGAATTGTATATGTCCGGTTGTGTATATTCACAACAAAAAATATATAATAAATTATTTTTAAAAAGAATATACACAAATTCATTACTAGCTCTTTACCTGTGTCTATCTTCAAAGAAATGGTGCTCAATTCTTGCATCTCCTTTGGGTTGAGTGGACAGGAGAGCATCCACCTTCATTACTAAGTCACTTGCCCTGAAAAATGGGGGTAGTGAAATTATAGCATATCTTTAACCGAAGGTTTTTCCAATTATTATTGAACATATAATTATAATCAGCCCAAATAGTGAACATTAACAGATGGTTTTGAGAAAGCATAGACTCCGTACTGACAAGCATGAGTTGAAGTAATTTCCAAACTGATTAGTTCTATAACATTGGGGAAGTTTTCATTTTCCCTTATGTGGAATGTAAATACTGCCTGCTTTGCCTGTCTCCTGTAAATATTACATTGAAATCATATTTAAAGCCCCTTGCTCAGGGTCCGGCGCAAAATAAGTTGTTGGTTAAGTATCATTTACATTCTCCCCCACCTTCTTTGAAATAACTTTATTATAGCAGTGCCTAAGGCATTGGGAGCTCTGGTAGCATAGTGGCTAAGACACTTGCCTGCTAACCAGACGGCTGGCGGTTCAAACCCACCAGCCACTCCTCGGAAGGAAGATGGGGCAATCCTACTTCCGTAGTGATACTGCCTTGGAAACCCAAGAAGGGGTCGCTATGAGTCGGGGCCGACTCGACAGCACATAACAAGGCATTGGACTGCTAACCAAAAAGTTGGCAGTTCAAACCCATCAGCTGCTTCACCTAAGGAATATGGGGCAATCTATTTCCATAAAGACTGAATGCCTTGGAAACCCAACGGGAGTCACTATGAGTTGAAATAGACTCAATGGCAGTGGGTTTGGTTTGGGTTTGGTGTATGACTGGAATAACATTCAGAGAAAAGAAAAAAAAAAGAATAAAAAGGAGACAGTTCAGATTATACGCAATACCATCATCAAGAAATAACTACTGATAACATTTTGGTGCGTAATTCTGTATTTTGAATATATAAACAAAAATAAGATCAATAATGATGCATTACAAACATCCTTTTATTGGTTGATCAATATAAGTATACATTAAAATTTTTTATGAGTTCATAATATATTTATATGTATACCATCATCTGCTAAACCAACCAGCTACTGAATATCTAGGGTGTTTCCAATTTCATCATTAAAATCAATAATGTAGTAAACAACTTAGAAATATATTTCCTCCTTCCCTACCCCTTCTAAAGCTGATTTTTAACCAAGATCTTCAACTAAATTATAAGCCAGAAAGAAATGCTTGAATTTACTGACTCAAGGGTTAAATTTAAAATAAGAATTTTTTTTTTAAGCACATTTAAATACATTTGAACTAGGATCAAACCTATATATTTTCTCATTGATCCCAAACAACTTTATCAAATTATATTTTTTGGTTCAATTTCTAAATACTAACTACAATTACGTATAATATACTCCATTTCTTTACTGTGACGTGACACCTCATGGACACAAAACATTTGAAGGGACACCTAGCTAAATGGATCAGAGTGATAAGGCCAAAAAGAGACTCCCTTGAGTCTCATGAGATACCACAGTGCATGAGCCACAACCAGCTTCAGAAAGCTGTAGAGCAGCCTAATATTGTAGGACTGAGTGAAGAAAGTAAGCTGTGGCTTGAATACAAGGGCCACTCCCAAGGTGGAGAGCTCCTGCAGTAATGAAAACTAGAGGAGGCAAGGTGATTTTGAGAATCCAAATAGTTTTAGCATAAATCTTTTAGCAGTGCTATGATTACCTTATTGCCTTAAACTTCCACAAGACGGACCCACAGCCATTTCTGGTTGGCAAAACCAAGTCTGTGGGACACAGTCTGGTACAGAGTGCAAGGGGCTCCTCAAAGCCTCCAAAGAAAGAAGGGACAGATTAAGGATGTATTTCACCGAGTCTGTGCCCTGCTAAAAAGATTGCTTTAAGTGATGGAGCATCTCCCAGCCTACATCAGAGGAGTATTTTAGAGGCCAGAGCAAGAAACCTAACTCATGAGGCACTGAGATAGGAGGGAACATCTTTACCTATAGCTCCAATATTGAGAAAGATGAAAAAAAGATGTCTTCTCATATTACATAAGATTTGGCAAAGTGACTTAGGTAGCTACTGAAGCCAAGACTTCACTGAGAATTCATAATGAAAACACACCTCAGCATAATGGTGTATAAAAAAGATGAAGGAAAAAGCCAGAAGTATTTACATATTCATATGATGTTTATTCCAAGTACAGCCCAGACAAATCATTTCTTTTCTTCCATTAAGGGAAATAACTCATTAAAATGCATTAGGCAATAATAAAACTAGAACAATAAAAATAAACATCAACAATAACCAACTCATTATCACCTTTGGAGGAAGCAAGAGAAGCAGCTCATTATTTTGAACTGGTAAATAAAGGAGAAGCAGCACTGAACCCTCTTTTCCTTTCCTGTACAAAATAAAACTAAAGGATAATTGATAAGTGATGAAGGAAAGTATCTCTTTATAGAAGTATTCCAGGTCATAAATAAACTAGCCCCTCTACTTTTGAATATGCTTGAAATTTTCGATAATAAAGTTTTTAAAAGGGGGAAGGGTGATGAAAACAGTTCTTTTATTCAATAAAACAAATCAGCTTGTTTCAATAGAAGTATAAATTAAACCTTGAGGTGAAGAGCATTATTACATTTTAAAGCTGAAAGTAAATCACCTTGGACTAGGTAGCTGTGGTATAGTAAATTACTTTGTGTGGCTTTTCTATCCATAAGTCTTTGTAAACTCCAAGGTGGGATTTGCTATGAGCAACTGAGGAGCTCCTGATTGCTGAAGGTGTCCACCTGGAGTATTTCTGTTGGGAGTGGCACAAAACAATGTTCTGGGAGGTGCCCACTCTCTCTCAGGTGCTTAGAGTTCTGATGCTATAATTGGCTAGTTTGGCCACCCTGCCGGGCTCAAAAAGAGGCCTCTTAGAGGCAGAACTCTCTCTGACTGCTGGCTGAGGAAGACGTGCTGCAGAAAGAGATACGGGCTCCTGAGACACGCGTTGCTGGGAAAGACGCAAGAGACACTCATTGCTGAGTGAGTCACCAAGGGACCAGCACTGCTGGGAAAAAGACTGTGAGAGACTGCTGGCTGAGGGACGGTGGGCTGGAGAGAGATAGAGACTGAGCATTTTTCCTGAACTCAAATTGTAGCTTGGTGCTTCCCTAATAAACCTTGTAATCTGTGAGTTCTGTGTGGCCACTGCAGCGAATTATCGAACCCAGGAGAGAGGTGGTGGGTGCTTTGGGAGGAACGGTTGGTGAAAGGGCTGGAGGAAGGCAGCATGTCTGGCCTGGCAGGAATAGGCCTTGGGTTACTGCTGGTAATCCTGTCTTCCTCTTGTGGGATTAGAGGAGGTCAGAACATGTGGCCTCCTCGCCATTTTTGCAGTAGTGTATGTAAATGATATGTAATCCTCATATATAATCCTTTCCTGTGAGTAAAGTCATATTAATACACATCCTATGATATGAACCAACTAATTTCTTCTACAGCAACACTTACACATCTTCTTCTATTTGAAGATGTTGAATATGAGATTTTATTTTCTGTCCTGAAGTTTTTAGTATGATGTTCTCCAGGAGGTGGAAATCATCTTGATTAAACAGTTCACTATCCTCTAGTGGCCCAATAATCTGGAAAGAAAAGAAAAGAAGAGTAGTGGTCAGTGATAGAAAACTACTGTAATCAGGAAGCTATCAAGGAGTCTTTTGTTGTCTTCAGCTGTCTTACAACCCAAGTTAAAGACGGTTGACATGTACATATATAAAAACCCACGATGTCAAGCCCTTTCTGACTCACAGCAACTCTTTAGGACAGAGTACAACTGTCCCATAGGGTTTTCAAGGCTGTAAATCCTCATGGAAGCAGACTGCCACATCTTCATCCCATGGAGTGATTGCTGGGTTTGAACCTTTCAGTTTGCAGCACAGCACTTTAATAACAGTGCCACCAGGGCTCTATTATGTACACATGTAAGTAAAATAAATTAAAAATAAAATCCAAATCAACTTCTACAGTTATTTATTTTTCAATTCCTCAATTAGATACAGTTTGGGTCTTCATATTTCACATTATTTTTTCAGTAAAAGTAAACTCAAAGTAAAATAAAATACCAGAATTTTCACTAAATTTCACTGAATGAAAACAAAGCTAAAATGAAGATGTAGTAGTAGGTATCAGACATTTTGCTTGAAGTGCTACGAGTCTAAAGTTTGGTATGCCCAGTATAGCTTAATTTCAGTGGCTATAGATAGTTAAGAAAACTTTTAAGCCTAAATTAGTTTAGTTCTTCTAGACTGCACGAACTATAAAGTAAACTTATGAGGATATGGTTTCACAGAGATGAGTATTTTATGTATCAAAAACTTTGCTGTTTTATGTTCTGAGAGCATCTACATTCTCAACACCTTACACAACTGTAAAACAGAAAACAGCTGGAAGGTTTCACTCAGAGGCTTTTATGTCAAAAAGTATACTTCCTTTGAAAATAAGGGAACAGAAAATTATCATCAGCACTTCATAAGCCCCAATCACCTTTGGAAAAAGAGCAGCTGTTTGACGAGTTTACTAGTTTCATAGTAGAATGATGCAAAGACTTTTCACTGCTCTAATCTGAAGTCATGCTTGTCTCAGGACAAAATCCTCACCCTTCCATTGCTGATCACTGCCCTTTGTCCCTTCTTCAGTTTCAGAACATCCCTGCAGTACATGGCGTGAGACAAAATGAAATCCATTTTGGAAGACTCAAAGACCTCTTTAAAAAGACTGAAATCCATGCCCTAGGGAAATAACAGTTGTTAAGGAAAGGTTATTGTTATTAAGCAAGCCATATAAATGAATAACCATAATGAATAAATCATAAATGTTTTAGTGGAAAGTAGTAACTAATTTAGCATTACGATGTCTCAGTCTTAATTCTCCAATCTACCTCTGAATCTCCCCCTACCCTCCACTTATCAGGTACTACATATTTCCCTTTTCCTAAAATGGCAAACTAGTTTGCATTTTAAAGTCCCACTAATTTTGATTCAAGTGAGGGTCTTTTCTAACTAAAACTTCAAACATATTCATCATTTTATAAGAAATTTTAAAACAATACTTTTGGAAAAGTAATTTATATAAATGAAGAAACATGAATGTATGTTGGAAAAGCATCAATATATAACCCTCTAACTTATAGAGAAATCTAATATTGCCTAGAGCTTAAAACTACACAAAAACAAATAGCTTTTGGCTTAAAAGATATACATACTTATACCATGCACATCTTAAAACCTAGCAAAAGTAATAACAGTAATATAGCAAATTGTTATTTTTTACGAGTCTTGCAAATTTAAAAAAATAAAGTCCTCTGAAACTAAGAATGAAAATCACAAGTGAATGTGATCAGAAAACATGGCTGCCTCAGGAAAAACAGAGACTTACTCCAACAGAGAATGCCCCAATATCAGCCCCTCTGGCCAGGGCCTCTGCAGTCTCCTCCTTGACCATTTTGGTGATGAAGTTCTTTGCAGAGTTGGAGGTCTGCATTTGGAGGGCTGCCCATATTGCTCTGGAGATCTGAGTGTTCTCATAACTTATATTTTCACTTGGATTATTTATTATGCTTATTCTCACATTATTACTGGACTTCTGTTGACAGAATGGGAAATAAGAATTATATGGTATTTTTTTAACTGAAAAAGTAGCATTAACATGTCATATTCCATAACTAGTAATAAAATTTCTATTAAAAGTCTTCAGAATAAAATTCAAATGCCACAGCCATGTATTCAAAACCCTACATTAGATGGCATCGATCTACCTTTCCAACCTCATTTCTGCCCACTCTTGTAAATACAGCACACATTACAGACCATTAGTGTTCTATCTTCCCTTTACATGCTTTATTCTAACATGTCACCCCCTCACATTGTAATGTCGATACACACTCCATCCCAATTTTAATTCCTTAAATTCCAAACATGCTTTTTTGGGCACTATTCAAACTGTTCTTCCTTCACAAAGTCTTTCCAGACTGCTAGTAAACACTAATCTCTCCATATGTGAAAAAGCATCCATGTAGAAGATATTTGAGATCCATTAAAAACAAAAAGTATCAGGAATGTAAGCAAGACAAATTTATCCCTATAGGCATCAAAAGACATGTACAAGAATATTCATGACAGAGTTCTATATAATAACCCCAAAAACAAACACCCTACTTGTCTGCCACATCAATAAAATTCACAAGGAAACAAACTTGATGGTATAGCCATAAAATAGAATACTACATAATGTAAAAGCAATCACAAAGAACAAACCACCATTACTTGCAACATCATGAATGAATCTCATAAAATGCTAAGCAAGAAACCAAACACCAAAGAATATATACAGTAAGATTCTGTCGAAATAAAGTTTCAAATACAGGTAAAACTATTCAGTGAGGTGAAAAGAGAGAAAGGGGCAGTGACTGTGGACAAAACCAGAGTAAGGCTTCTGGAAATCTAGTACTTTCTCTGTTTTGATCTGGATGGTGGTCACATGGGTGCTTTCACCATTATACTGTGATTATTCCTATGATTTGTACACTTCTTTTGTGCCTGTATTTTACTTCAACTAAAATATTTATTTAAAAATTGACCTCTCCCACTATAACCGTACTCAAGCATTTATCAATTTGCATTAGAGTGCCTTATACATATATCTGGGAGCTCAGGTAGCGTAGTGCCTAAGGCACTTGACTGCTGCTAACTAGAAGGCTGGTGGTTCAAACCCACCAGCCACTCCTCAGAAGGAAGGTTGGGCAATCTACTTCCGTAGTGATACTGCCTCGGAAACCCAAGGAGGGGTCGCTATGAATTGGGGCCAACTTGAGGCACACAACAAGAACAACAACATACATGTACCTAGGGAGCCCCAGTGGTGCAGTGGTTAAAACGCTCAGCTTCCAACCAAAAGGTTGGTAGTTTGAACCTACAAGCTGCTCTATGGGAAAAAGATGTGGCAATCTGCCACCATAAAGATCTGGAAACCCTATGGGGCAGTCCTACTCTGTCCTGCAGAGATGGTGTGAGTTGGAACTGACTCAAAGTGGAAGGTTTGGGTTTGGTGGATGTATATCTAGGGGCTGTGGTGGCCTAGTGCCTAAGGCATATGACTACTAACCAGAAAGCTGGCAGTTCAAACCTACCAGCCACTCCTCAGAAGGAAGGTCGGGCAATCTACTTCCATAGTGATACCACCTCAGAAACCCAAGGAGGGGTCGTGATGAGCCAGATCCGACTCCATGGCAGTGCATGCGTGCATGTGGATATATATCTGTCTTCTTCAACTAAAATTACACCTGATTTAAAGATAAACTGGGCAATAAAGGCATTCAATGCATTAGGAAACTAAAACCACGACGATATTTCCTTATTTCTGTAAGGCATTCCAGGGCACAGCGTGTAAAGGGCTGTGATGTTTCGATGAAGATCCAATCTGTAACAGCTCAGGAAAAAGGCATTTAACATCTCATTCTCTAACAATGAGACTCTTTAAAAGAATCAGATTCTCAAAAAAAAAAAAAAAAAATTCAGATTCTCAACTGTTCCCTGCTGCCATTTGATCAAGTTCGGCTAGTTAAGTGGAGTACATTTTTCAGAGCCTCTTGATGTGTGTTCCTATACATACCTAGATCTATTTCTATTCCCAAGCACACTCATGTGCTTATACAAGATTTCCCCTACATCAGACCTCTCTATAGGTAAGGACCCTGTCTCCCACACACAATATACAACATGTCTTTGCAGCATCTCTGAAGCAAGAATATAAAATCATGCAACAAAAACTTATGTAGTATTTATAATTATAGTTTTTATCTTTAAAATAATCTAATGCCTTAAATAAAGCCAGAAAACTGCAATCTTTTCTTTTTTTCTTACTAGCCGGCAGACATCTTAAGAAATCTGATCCTTTTCCACAAGCATTAGGTACACAGGATTGCCACCTCCCCACCAAAACAATTACATAAGAAACAAATGCCCCCTGAGTATAACTGACCTTCAAACAGAAATACAAATGAAAATGTACACACTTGCCTGATGTTTAATAGCATCATACAATAACTGTCTTCCAGAAAGCCTATCAAAATCCCCAACAATCCAAAACGTTATTGGCCTAATAAAAGAATCATCTGTAGGAAAACAAAAACATACTGAGTTGGAGAAAAAAAGCACATTCAATGTTTCATTTCTTATTAAACCAAATGATTTCTGAAACCATGCAAAATGTAAGAAAATAAGTTTAGTAAAGAAAGCAAAAGTAGTGAAACTTCTATGTAAGAATGAAAGCCATCTGGCTTACTGACAAACTAGAACATGCACTGATTAATTCTATTATGCTATGATTATCTGTTAGCACATAAAATGAAAAAATACTTTAAATATGTAAATAATGTATTATACCTATTCCTCACTTTTCAACTATCTCTTTATCCAATATTTTACATTTATGACAATAGTACAACACCCACTATTCAATATTTTGCATATTAACAATGTACATCTGGCAGTAACGAATGCTGAGATGAGACTAACAAGGACTGTGATGGTGAAGTGTCAATTTGGCTGGGCCATGATTCTCAGTGGTTTGGCAGTTATGTGATGATGTAGTCATCCTCCATTTTATGATGTGATATGGTCATCTTTCATTTTTGCTTAAAGCCAATTTTCACATAATGACCTGGTCTTTTGGAATCTAACCATATAGATAAGTGAGGAGTAGGTATATAACCTTTAATCATATTAGTGTAACTGGCTGGAATAAAATTCTTTACAAAAAATTATCCATTCTGATATAGCCATTGGAGCACACAGGTTCCAGAAATATCATAGTAATGTGTCAGTAGATTCTGAATGGCAATGGTTTCTGAAACCACATAAGATTAATTAAGAAAATGAATAAAGCATACTATAATTTTGAGTTACCATATATTTCCTTGGAAGACATTCCTAGACAAAGGTAAAGGAAAAAGAGTAGAAGACAAATATCATTGCTGTAATTAATACCTATAAGAGTCAAACCTCTAAATACTCCCTAACATGATCTATTCCTCTTGCTGCTCCTAAATCACATACTTGGTATAGATATTTTAAAAAGCATGAACTCACATATCATCACAGTGATATTGTGAGGATTTTGGGGCAAATGCCTATACTTACATATATGGGAAATGAGAAATTCTCTCTGGGAGAAGAATACAGAAAGGATAAAAATAACTACCTTAAATGATAATCAGTTCTCAGAAAATGTTGACTAGATGTGAAAATAATGTTTCCAATTAAAAGAGCATCATTTTACATAACCTTAGCCTAAATAAACAATAGAATATAAAAATCAGTTTAAAAAATATGTAAAGCTTACCAGAACTAAGTTTATCTCATGAAACACCCTCTGACATAATACTGTCATTGAAGAGGTCGGCAAAATCAATTTTTAAACCATTAACCCATTTTAACATCATAAATGTCTTTCCATTTTGAGCCATGAAAGATTTTTCCTTTTGATCTTAATATGTAATATCAAATTTATAAAAGCATTGGAATTTTTAAACATATACAAAGAATTAAAATTTAAACTGTTATTTTCTAGACTCGTTACATTATAAGAAATAATAAAAGAAAATTATGTAATCTCTTTCCCAATAGACAATAAAGGTAAAATTACTGTCTCAATCGCAAAAAAAAAAAAAAAAAAAATGTTGAATCTAAAATACTGCTAAAATGGATTACCTCTCTTTGTCAGATAGTTCATACTATTGGCTATAGCAGCAGTCTTGCCTTGAGAATCCAAGACAGAAAATCTAGCATAATCATCCACAAAGAAGTTATCTAAAATACAAAAAAAATAAAATGGATTTATAACTAATATGCCTCAGTTCAATCTAATGTTACCATACTATAAAACCCAAAAACCAAACTCCCTGCCCTCAAGTTGATTTGACTCATAGTGACCCCTCCTTGGATTTCCAAGGTCCGACTCCACGGCAAAACAACAACACCTCTACGGAAGTAGATTGTCCAATCTTCCTTCCAAGGAATGGCTGGTGGGTTTGAACTGCCAGCCTTCTGGTTAGTAGTCAAATGCCTTAGGCACTATGCTACCAGAGCTCCTTACCATACTATAAGACACATAAAATGAATGTGAGTAAAATAAAGTTTCATGTTTATTGAACAAGCTCAAACATGTCCTCTACCAAATAAATCATATTTTAAGACACAGAAGAACTTCCCTAACCTATTGGGGATGGGGACTGAATGGCAAAGAAAATATAAGAGTACTCCAATTTTTATTCTTCCACGTCTAACAAAGTAATACTTTACCTTAACAAAAACAAAGTCATTTTCATCATTTTAGATATGTATCCTCTGCTTAATGCCCAAAGTCAAGGTTCTTATTCATTATTTCCCCTTTGTTCTTACTGTTGTTAGATACCATGGAATCAGCTCTGACTCACTGCAATCCTTTGTACACAACAGAACGAAACACTGCCCCTCAGTCCTGTTCCACCCTCACAATCCTTGCTATACCTAAGCCAATCATTGCAGTCAGTGTGTCAATCCACCTTGTTGAGGGCCTTCTTGTTTTTTGCTGACCTTACACGTTAGCAAGCATGATATCCTTCTTCAGGGAATGGTCCCTTCTGACAACACGGCCAAAGTAGGTGAGACAAAATCTGGTCATTCTTGCTTCCAAGGAGCATTCTGGCTGCACTTCTTCCAGGACAGATTTGTTTGTTCTTCTGGCAATCCATAGTACTATCAGTATTCTTTGGCAACACCACAACTCAAAAGCATCAATTCTTCCTCGGTCTTCCTTATTCATTGTTCAGCTTTCACGTATATATGTTGTTGTTGTTGTTGTTATGTGCCGTTGAGTTGGACCTGACTCATAGCGACCCCTCCTTGGGTTTCCAAAGCACTATCACTATGGAAATAGATTGTCCCATCTTCCTTCCGAGGAGTGGCTGGTGAGATTGAACAGCCAGCCTTCTGGTTAGCAGTCAAGTGCCTTAGGCACTATGCTACATTAAAAGTACCATGGCTTGGATGCACCTTAGTCTTCAACGAGACATCTTTGCTCTTTACATCTTTGCTTAAAGAAGTCTTTTTCAGCAGATTTGCCAGTACAATATTATGACTGATTTCTTGACTGCTGCTTCCATTGGTGTTATGGTGAATTCTTTGATGTGGCCCTTCTAGCCATTGTCCTCCATTCGGTGATGCACTGTAAATCCTATTATCCATGCCTGTTTGGAGAGGTGTAGTAGTTAAGGTTAGGTATCAACTTGACTGGGCAGCTGGTAGTAGTCATTCCCTATAATGACTGGCAATGGGCTCTGTGATGGTATTTGCCCTGAGCTGCTGATTGTTAAAATCATCCACTTAGGTTATTTCTGTTGGGGCAACACAAGTGGAATGTATATTGAGTCCTACCTTGCTGGAGGGTATAATTCAAATCACCACCCTTAGCTTCCTTGAGGGTATACCTACGAATCTCCTGGGAAAGTTCCCTTTCTCTTGCTCTGGTTTTGTGTTTTGGCTCTTCATCTCACCCCTGGATTTGAGACAGCAGCCATCATCTGATCTGCTTGATCGAGGTTCATCAAACCCTGAGAATTGGGAGGAACCTCCAGACCCACTCACAGACCTGGGACTCGCCAGCCTGCCAGCCTCCATCACTACTACGTGAGACGATTCCTTGGGTATATGTTCTGTGAGGCGTTACCACAAAATAGAGAACCCTAAGACAGGGGAAATTACTGGGAGGAGGAGGAAGAGGAGTTAATGTCCAAAATGATGGAGTGGCACAGTAGTTCCAACATTTGGGACATCTTTAACCTCCACCTCATGGGGACTGGCCTTGTGCTGATCTTTGAGAGAAATTGGTCAAGCAGGTGTTCATGGTGGAACCATGTAATACAAAATCTTTGACAACCTCAATCTTTTCTCCATTTATTATGATGCACTTTACCATTCCGTTGTGAGGATTATCATTTTCTTCATGTTGAAGTGTAATCCATACTGGAGACTGCAGTCTTTAATCTTCATCAATAAGTACTTTAAGTCATTAAGCAAGGTTGTGTCATCTGCTTATCACAGGTTGTTAATGAGTTTCGCTCCAATCCTGATGCCCTGTTCTTTTTAACATAGTCCAGCTTCTCAGACTGTGTGCTCATCATACAGATTGAATAAGTATTGTCAAAGGATACAACTCTGACACACTCCCTTCCTGATTTTAAACCATGCAATATCCCCTTGGTTTGTTCAAACAACACACTTCCAATCTATATACAGGTTCCTCATGAGCACAATTAAGTGTTCAGGAATTCCCATTCTTCTCAATGTTATCCATAATTTGTTATGATCTACACAATTGAATGCTTTTGCATAGTAAATAAAACACAAGTAAAGATCTTTCTGGCATTCTTTGCTTTCAGCCAAGATTTATCTGACATCAGCTATGATATCCCTTGTTCCACATCCTCTTCTGAATCCAGCTTCCATTTCTGGAAGTTCCCTGTCAACATACTGATGCAACCATTTTTTAATTATCTTCAACAAGATTTAACTCACATGTGATATTAATGATATTCACATGTGATATTAACGATATTGTTCGATAATTTCCACATTCTGTGGGATCACCTTTCTTTGGAATGGGTACAAATATGGATCTCTTCCAGGCAGTTGGCCAGGCAGCTGTCTTCCAAATTTCTTAACACAGACAAGAATTTAACTCCAGCATAACATCTGTTTCTTTAAACTTCTCAGTGGGTATTCCATCAATTTCTGGAGCATCATTTTTCACAAGTTCCTTCACTGGAGCTTCACCTTCTTCCTTTAATACCATTGGTTCTTGATCATATACCATCTCCTGAAATGGATAAACATCTACCAATTCTTTTTGGTACAGTGACTCTGTGTTCCTACCATCTATTTTTGATGTTTCCTGCATCATTCAATATATTGCCCATAAAATCTTTCAATATTGCAACTCAAGGACTCAATTTTTTCTTCAGTTCTTTCAGTTTGAGAAATGCTGAGCGTGTTCTTCCATTTTGGTTTGCTAATTCCCAGTCTTTGCACATGTCATTATAATAACTGACTTTGTCTTCTCAAGTTGCTCTTTGTAATCTTCTGTTCAGCTCTTTTATCTTGTCTTTTCTTCCATTTGCTTTAGCTACTTTCCATTCAAGGGCAAGTTTCAGAGTCTCTTCTGACATCTATTTTGGACTTTTCTTCCTTTCTTCTCTTTTTAAACTTTTGTTCTCTTCAATGGATGATATTCTTGATGTCATCCCACAATTCCTCTGGTTTTTGGTCACTGGGGTTTAATTTGTCTGATCTATTCTTTAGATGGTCTCTAAATTCAGAAGGGATATATTCAAGGCCCTATTTTGGCTCTCCTAGATATCTTTTAATTGTCTTCAGCTTGAACTTGAACTTGCATATGAGCAGTTGATGGTTTTTTCCACAATCAGCTCCTGGTCTTGTTCTGGCTGAAGATATAGAGCTTTTCCATCACTTCTTTCCACAGTTATAGTAGATCTGATTCCTGTGTATTCCATCTAGTGAAGTCCATGTGTATAGCCACCATTTATGTTGTTGAAAAAAGATATTTGCAATGAATAACTCATTGGTATTGCAAAATGCTATCATGCGATCTCTAGTGTCATTTCTATCACCATATTTTCCAACTACTGGTGATTCTGCTTTGTTTCCAGCTTTTGCATTCCAATCATCAGTGACAATCAACACATCTTGACTGCATATTTGGTCAATTTCAGACTGCAGAAGTTGGTAAAAATCTTCAATTTCCTCATCTATGGCTTTGTTGTTGTTGTTGTTATTTGCCATCGAGTCAGCCCCGACTCATAGCGACCCCTCCTTGGGTTTCCGAGGCAGTATCACTACGGAAGTAGGAATGCCCAACCTTCCTTCCGAGGAGTGGCTGGTGGGTTTGAACCGCCAGCCTTCTGGTTAGCAGTCCAGTGCCTTAGGCACTATGCTACCACAGCTCCTCATCTATGGCTTTGGTAGTACATAAAATGTGAGTAACAGTATTAACTGGTCTTCCTTGTAAGCATATGAATATTACCCTATAACTGACAGCACTGTACTTCAGGATAGATCTTAAGACATTCTTTGTGACAATGAATGCCACACCATTCCTCTTTGTCATTCCCAGCACAGCTGATCATACAGCAGTCTGATTCAAAATGGCCAAAACCAGTCCATTTCAGCTCATTAATCCCTAGGATATTGATCTTCATGCATTCCATTTCATTTCTGTTAAATTCCAATTTTCTTAGATTCATACATACATTCCATGTTCTGATTAGTAATGGATATTTCCACCTTTTCTTCCCATTTTGCATCATGCCACATCAGCAAATGAAGGTCCCAAAAGCTTTACTCCATCCATGTCATAAAGGTCAACTCTACATTTCCCCTTTACTCTTGCTAAAATCCCAATTATACACATTAATTTTTCCTACTGACAAAAATATCTCTAGCCCATTATTATGAACCCTCTGGTTCCAGCTCTCTGGCCATATGTAGTATTATACCCAAGACAAATGCCACTTCTCATCACTGTCATACAAACACAGCCTGCTTGCTCATCCACCTATCTATTCCTTCATCCATTCAGTCATCCACATACCATTTCAACAATGCATCACAGGTGCTTCCTATCCGCTCAGCCATTGTTCAGGGAAAAGAAAACAATAGTAAGTAAGACAATCACAATTTACAACATCAGGTGGTGGAGAATTGAGAGCATCATGGCCTTAAAAATGAGTAGCCGTTTATATAGGTACCAAGCATGGCCTTAAAAATGAGTAGCCATTTATATAGGTACCAGGACAACCAAGGCCAAAGAGATCCAGGTGATGGTACTGCAACCAGTACTAGACAAGGAGGATGCCTGCTCTTCTCACTGATATCTTCCCTCTGCAGGCAGATCATATCTTTGGCACTATGGTCTAGTATTCTTTCACAGCTGATTACTACAACACCCAGAGGAAAAGGAAATCAAAACCCAACTCCCTACTGGTAGCATAGTGCTGTGGTGGTTATGTTTTTGTGTCAACTTGGCTGGGCCTCGTTGAGTGGCTGGGCAGCTGGTGGTAGTTATTCCCCATGATGAGACTGGTAATCAACTCCATGGTGGGATCTGCCACAAGTAGCTGAGTAGCTGCCTTTGGGATGTGGTCTGCTTCCTGTATATAAGGAGAAGCCTTGGGAATGGTCTCTAGCTTAAGAAACCTTGAACCCTGCATTAGCCATGTCGTTGCTCAGCAGCCTGCTATTCTCTACCAACCTTGGGGCTTACAATGGACTTAAGTTAAAGTCCTGCCGTGCGGTTTGGTAACATTGGGACTGTGCCTTTTTACTTGTCAACCTTGGGCTTCTCAGCCTCAGCAGAGAGCAGCCGTCTGAGTGAAGAAATGCCTTTAGCTCCAGTGAACCGGGAGCAGGGGCAGAGCTGGACCCCAAGGTTGAGGGGCTTTCACACAGCCCCTAGAGCCTGGCACTTTGAACTTGGACTCAAAGCCTCCAAATTGTAAGAATAAACTCCTGTTTGTTTAAGCCGTCCCATTTGTGGTATATTCCTGTCAAAGCGGCACTAGATAACCAAAACAAGTGCCTAAGGCATTTGACTGCTAACCAGAAGGCTGGTGGTTCAAACCCACCAGCCACTCCTCGGAAGGAAGGCTGGGCAATCTACTTTCATAATGATACCGCCTCAGAAACCCAAGGAAGTGTCACTATGAGTCGGATCCGATTTGATGACACTTAACAACAACAACAATTTATCAGTATTCCAGATATAGCCTTTTACTGTTTGATTAAAAATTATGGTAACAAGAAAATTACTGTTGGTCTTGCTGTATTAAAACTTCTGATAAAAAGCAAAATCTGACTGTGAAAAAACAACTTAACCCATTTTCTAATTTTTCAATTACAAGCCTACACTGTCCTCTACCTGAATGAAAAAATATCAAGTTTTAAGTATATTAGAGATAGTTGTCAAACAGTAATAATGAAAAATGGATTGATATTTTCAGTATACGTACACAAGAGCAAAAACAAATACACATGGTTGTGACTTCACTATTACATATAATACAAGTGAGAGTTTATGGTCAAATGATGATGTCTCCACAACATTACCAGATGTTTGTTTAAGTGGCCTTCAGATTCTCAACTTGAAGGCATAAGAAACAAATTGTACAAGGGCTTAATATATAAGAATACGTTAAAGCATTCTTATGTTCATCACATGATAAACTAAAGAAAGAATAAAGAAAATGGGGAACTGTCAGTCAACTGATTACCCTAAAACTGATTACTTCTTCTGTGTAAAGAAGAAGAAATGGAGTACTGATACATGCTATGACATGGATGAACCCTGAACACATCATGCTAAGTGAAAGAAGCCAGTGACAAAGTATTTTTACAGGAAATAAAAATTCTGCTTTTTCTGAACAGAAAAAGCAAATCTATAGAAACAGAAGTAGATTAGTGGCTGCCAGAAGCTAAAGGAAGGAGGGAATGGAGAGTATTAATGGGTGCATGGTTCCTTTAGGAGTGATAATAATGTTCCAAAATTAGAAAGTGATGATGGTTGCACAACTGTGAATATACCAAAAACTCCTGAATTCTACAGTTTAAAAGGTTAAGTTTTATAGTACGTGAACTACACTTCAATAAAGCAGTTATTTTTAAAAGGGCATTATTAGGTTCCCAGAGTAAAATTAGCTGAAATACTTGTTGACATGAGAGCAGACTGATTCTAATGAGGACTGTATTAGAGCTTAAATTCTAAAGCTCTTGGTTTATGGAAGGCTGCAGTCTATAGTAGGAGCCCTAACTCCATTTATTTATTTTTTTAATTGTAATTGGAATGAAAGTTTACAGAGCAAATTCATTTTACCTATTTCCATATAACAGTTAATACACATTTCATTTCTTGACATTGACTGCAATCACAACGATGTAACAGCTTTCTTCTAACTTCTTCCCTGTGGTTACCTTTTCCCTGTGTCTTTCTTTCCTATGTATTCCTGCCCTCTGAGGTATCTCCCGGTGAAAACAGCGCCCTTCCAGTGGTGTAGTGCTTAAGGCATTTGACTGCTAACCAGAAGGCTGGCTGTTCAAACTCACCAGCTACTCCTAAGAAGGAAGATTGTGCAATCTACCTCTATAGTGATACTGCCTTGGAAACCCAAGCAGGGGTCGCTATGAGTCAGATCCAACTGGACAACAGTGAGTTTGGTTTTTTTGATCTTCCATTGTTGATTTTTCCAAAGAGTGTAAATGTTCACCTTATATACCTGTCTACTATTTGGGTGGAAGCCACAAGACTGAGTTCAATTCTAGGTCTCAGGGGTTTTACCAGTCTTTATTAGATCAATAAGGCTGGTCTTCTTTACTATTTTGAATTTTGTTTCACACTTTTCTCCCACTCTACCCAGGATCTCCTATTTTAATCCCTTTCTAACTGGCTGACAGTAGTAGCTGAGCACAACCTCGTTCTTTCTGGTCTCACGGTCTTGTAGGCTGAGGTTCGCTTGGTCTGCTATTCCCTTGGGCTATTACCATGTGTCTTTGGTTTTCTTCATCCTCCTTTGTTCCAGATGAGAAGAGACTAACTGTTGCATCTTAGATGGCTACCTGTAAGCTTTTAAGACCTCAGTCACAATTCACCAAAGAAGGATGGAAAACAATGTTTTTGTGTAATATGTTATGCCAGCTGAGCTTGATGTTCCCTACAACCATGGTCCCAAGCCCAAAGGCCAAAGACTATTTTGAGTCTTGACATAAGTTCAGATGCCATTTGAATTTTTTCTGATCATCAAACTAACAATACCCAAAAAACAAACTCACTGGCATTTAAACAATGCTGACTCACAGAGATTCCCCATTAGGTTTCCAAGGTGGTAAATCTTTAAAGTAGACTGCCCGATCTTCCTTCTGCCACACAGAGGCTGGTGGATTTGAAGTGCCAACCTTCTGGTTAGCAGTCAAATGCCTTAGGCACTGTGCCACCAGAGCTCCTTCCAAACCAGAAATATGTCCTGGGAAAACCTAGGGAGGGGCAGTTTGTGCTCAGGAAGAGTGTGGTTAAAAATAGATTACAACTTCCAGCCAAGCACAGGAAGTGGCAGTTTTGCCTTTAGACTTACTTACACAAAGAACCAGGGAACTTGTCTAGGTGGGTCTTCAAGGATTTATCTAAAGCAGCTGCATTTTATCTAATGTAAGTTAAAAGGTGGGGTTCCCATGACTATTAGTCACGGCCCCATGGTCATGATTCATACACTGACAAGAACGTAGCCAGGTGGTCAAACCCCCGAAACAATCCTGTAACTCTTTTTAATTTGCAATTGTGTACATATCCCAATCACAGTCCTTCCAGCTCTTCTGTATTCCCACCTGTGATAATAATGAACTAACCTGCCACCAATCATGATTTTATGATAATTTCCTTTGTTTTCTGTCATAATAATTAGCCCCATGGCCATGAGTGAGCAGATTCCATTCCCTCTTTGTATTCTGTACATGCTGATGGTTTCCCTCATGCTGGAAGACTGTATGTTTTATCTTTATCCTGTTTAAGACTCAAGAAAATGGTCTCCATAGAAAATGTTTGAGTTGGGGGTCATTTTTACCATAGTACAGGACCAAGAAAATCCAGCTGCTTAATTGCTATATGGCTTGTCAGGCAATCAAAAATTCAGGCACATTCCTATTGCCCAAAAAAAGCTTAGTTTGGCATTTACATGGTAATGAATAATTTTCAAAGGTCTTTCATGCCCCTCAAAAAGTCTACTGTCATGGCTTAAGTCAGAAAGCATTTCTCTTCTCTTATGAATTTAAAAAGGAGCTATAGCAATGGTTAAAGCATCTGGCTACTAAGCAAAAGGTAGGAGGTTTGAACTTACCAGCTACTGCATGGGAGAAAGATGAGGCAGTCTGCTTTTGCAAAACTCTTACTCTGTCCTATAGGGTCTATCAAAAAGGACTAGATAATAATGACTTTTGTTTGGGTTTATGAATTTAAAAGATCATATTATGAACTTGGAATGCAAGATGTTTAAACACAAAAATTTGTCACAATCTTAGGATACATTCTAAACATAATAATCTAATAAATGGAAACATTCCAAAGCACAAACCAAACAATATTTTTTAAAAGCACAAAGATGTTCCTGAACTGCTTCTTACTAGTTGATGTTAAATCCAGGTACTTTCGTTCAGCTGTCAAAATTCTAGAATTGATTCGTGGAACAACATTTGGCTGATTCATAATATACTCAATCACATCTTGATCACTGGACAGTTCACCCTTCAGAAAGAAAAAAAGGGGGGGGAAGGGTGTTAACTTTATATTAAATACAATTCATTAGGAAATAAAAATATATTAGCTTTATACTACCATCAATATATTGTCAACAAATAAGAACAGAAGTCATCATGCTATCAGTTCATGTTTGCCAAAAGAGGCCCTGCTGGCAGCGTGCCTAAGAATTCAGATGCTAACCAAAAGGTTAGTGGTTCAAACCTATCAGCTGTTCCAAGGGAGAAAGATCTGGCAATCTGCTTTCATAGAGATTACAGTCCTGGAAACCTATGGAGTAGTTCTACTCTATCCTATAGGCTTGCCATAAGTTGCTATGAGTTTATTTGAGGATTGCCAGATATACACGTATGAGGCAGGTATTGCTTATGTCCTTTTCAAAGATGAGGAAGCTGAGGCAAAAAAAAATTGCTACATAACATACTCCAGGTCACTAAGCTGCTAAGAAGTGAATTTCAAATGCAAACTCATATTCAAGTGGTCTATCCACAAGCCATTCTACTCCCTTAAAAAATAAGCAACTTACACAAATCAATTACAAGCTAACAAGCAAATATCTATCTTGGGATGGGCCTTATGCTTAGTTTTTCTCTAAAGGAGAGACTCTAAGGCTTGCTCTATATATTTTGTTATAAAATCACCCCAAACTCATTTCAATCTCAGGCTTCCAAGTAACCTGACTTGAATTTCTGGCATTTTGCTAGCGATACACAGCTCCAATTGTTTTTTAATTATCTTTAGTAAAATGTTACTTGCTTGTAATATTAAGAATATTATCTGATAATTTCCACATTTAATTGGACCACCTTTCTTTAGAATGGGCATAAATATGGATCTCTTCCAGTCTCTTGGCCAAGTAGGTGTCGTCTAACTTTTTGGGCATTTGAGCACTTCCAGCGCTGCATCCATTTGCTGAAACATCTCAGTGGGTATTCTGTCAATTAATGGAGTGATGTTTTTCACCAATTCCTTCAGTACACCTTAGACTTCTTCCTTTACAACCAATGGTCTTGGATCACATGCTATCTCCTAAAGTGAATGTACATCAACAAATTCTTTTTGGAAGAGTCACTATGCACTCTTTACATCTTCTTTTGATGCATCCTGCATTTGTTCAATATTTTATGCATAGAATCCTTCAATATTGCAACTTGAGGCTTCAATGTATTCTTCACTTCTTTCAGCTTAAGAAATGCTAAGCACATTTTTATTTTTCCCTTTTGATTTTCTAACTCCAGGTCTGTACATATTTCATTACAATACTTTGTCTTCCCAAGCAGCACTTTGAAATCTATTGTTCAGCTGTTTTACTTAATCATATCTTCCACTTCCTTTAGCTACTCTCCATACAAGAGAAAGTTTCATGGTCTCTTCTGACCACCATTTTGATCTTTTCTTTCCCCTCTTTTATAATGATCATTTGCTTTCTTCATGTATGGTGTCCTCAATGTTATAGCTTCAGTCACTGGTGTTCAATCCGTCAAATCTAATGAGATTGTAAATTCAGGTGAGTCTGGTACTGTATTGCCTCAGGCATTTGACTGCTAACCGGAAGGCTGATGGTTCAAACCCACCAGCCACTCCTCGGAAAGAAGATTGGACGATCTACTTCCATAGTGATACATCTTCAGTAACCCAAGGAGGGGTGGCAATGAGTTGGATCCGACTCGATGGCAGTGCATTTGGTTTGGTTTTGGTTTTATGCTCAAGGTGGTATTTTGGCTCACATGTTGTTGTTATTGTTAAGTGCCATCATAGCAATCCCTCCCTGGGTTGCCGAGGCAGTATCACTACAGAAGTAGATTGCCTAACCTTCCTTCCAAGGAGTGGCTGGTGGGTTTGAACCGCCAGCCTTCTGGTTGGCAGTCAAATGCCTTAGGCACTATGCTACCAGAGCTCCTTT